GTTCGAATGACACAAAAAACTACAAAACACAAATATATTTATTATATAAACATAGTATCAAAATAAAGACGCACACATTATATATAGTACATTTCAAAGAATATTATCTCGAACGTTCTCCGATATTATTTTGTAAGAGAACACGAGACCGTCTGGCAGAATAATTAAAACCTTATTCACGAAGGAGCTCCATATTTCCCCCGGGCGAATGGGGCAAAAACAATGCTTGCACTTTGCAATTAGCCGTAACCCTACGTGCTTTCTGCCATCTGCACGAATCTAGTGATGGAATGTATACACATATGTTTCTATTTTAATGTATGAGAGTGAAGTGGGATAAAACTGATATGGTTGGTTCCTTTGATCTTATTTTTCTTGAACTAGATTTTTTATTTTTTATTGCATAAATGTGTGGTCGAGCTTTTATAGTTTACTTTTGAACAATACCGACTTTAAAGAATTGTTAATTTACTTCCATCTGAAAGCTTGAAATGGAAATGTGAAAATTTACATCGTATTAAGCAGTTTATTGCGCCATTCTTGTAGAAACACACGCTCCAATATTCTTGACAATTTAGAAGGTGACTGAAGAAATTAAAGGTGATAATATGGACGAAGACCCTAGCGAAGAACAGATCAAGTGTTGGAAGTGATACTTTTTTTTTAATTGTTTAGATGGGTGGACGAGCTCACAGCCCACCTGGTGTTAAGTGGTTACTGAAGCCTATAGACATCTACAACGTAAATGCGCCACCCACCTTGAGATATATGTTCTTAGGTCGCAAGTATGTTACAACGGCTACCCCACCTTTCAAACCGAAACGCATTACTGCTTCGCGGCGGAAATAGGCAGGGTGGTGGTACCTACCCGCGCGGACTCACAAGAGGTCAATAATATTATTAATATCCGAAAGTATAATAACTATGTCCGCTTGCTACGTTTTCACCAACCCAAGCCACTGAGCCGATTTTGATGAAATTCACTCCGAATGTAATTTGAACTCTGGCAAAGAATATACTTAGGAATAGATTCATTCTTCTGCTAACTACGAGTCATTGCCCACGCGAAATAAAGTGAAGCTGGCACGACTGAAATCGTGGACGAACAACTAGTTAGTATAGATGATCAGGTTACATCTTAATACCTTTAGTACCTTTTTCTAAATAATATTAGATATGAAGGCCACCTACGATTTTTTTTTGTTATTGATTAGATGGATGGACGACCTCACAGCCCACCTGGTGTTAAGTGGTTACTGGAGCCCAGAGACATCTATGACGTAAATGCGCCACCCACCTTGAGATATAAGTTCTAAGGTCTCAGTTTAGTTACAACGGCTGCCCCACCCTTCAAATCGAAACGCATTACTGCTTCACGGCAGAATATATATTATATCTGGATATACCCAGAGCAATAACACATTAATTTTTAATAATATCCTAATCAGTTTAATCAGTAATAACAACCTACAATAGACTGATGTAACTGTTTGTAGGTTTCTTTACGATAAGTTAGATGAAGTTAAGATGGTAGGGTAAAATTACAGAAATGCGAAACAATCGTGTATTATTGAAGGGTTTATAATACCCACTATTTATTACCAGCGTTAGCGAGATGTGTAACAGCTTAAAACCTAGTCCGCTACGACCACTGTCCATGAAATGCTAGCTTTGAAAACCAACCATATTATACTGAATTTTCAATTGAATCGTAATCATATCTGTCTCAACATTTAAATGCAATGCATGAATATCTGAGACAAAACACGATTGCCTATGGGAATTATAGGTTTATTTATTGGACGTCACTGGCTTGACTTTGCCCCTAGCATTGATGACATCCATGCGCGACGGTAACAGCTTATCTTCAGGTGGGTCGCATGCTCGCCTGTCTACAAGGGCATCGAAAGAAGAAAAACACGGTAGAACTAATAAAGCGTCCTATTCTGGTCGCGCTTAACGTGTTGTGCCTTCCTACATAAGATACAGAAACAAAAATTAAGTTTTAAAATTTAATTTGTTATATCTTACAACAGTTCTTTAGTGCTAACAGAGATACGAAACTCTAACATATAAAACAATAATGTATTCTACATATACAAATAAATCAAATTGGAGTGTCTGTTTGTAATAATAAAATAACCACTTTTTACTAACTGCGTAAGTATACACAGTACATAAACCAAAATAACTTTTTTTTGTTTTGTCTGTCTGTCTATTCCAGCTAATCTCTGGAACGGCTGGACTGATTTTGACGGGACTTTTACTGATAGGTAGCTGATGATATAAGGCGTTACTTAGGCTACTTTTTTAGACTAACTTCGCCCCGCGGGGTCAACCGCGGTAAGAAAATAACCGCGGGTAACATCTCGGGACTCAGTACAAAATAAAAGTCACCTAATTTGAATACTTGAATATTTACTGACTGTAATCTGAAAGACTGCAATGACTGAATTCATTCGCACGATACCTTTTCATCCATTCATAGCAATAATTAACTGAACATTGCAAATTGCCTATTAAAACCTTGCAAAACCTGGCAACTGTAAAAACCACGTATCACTGATCCACAGTATCGCAGAAAAGGGAAATTGGCTCTTTTGTGGTTCAGTGCAGTGTGCGATATGCTACGTACTATAGTAGCGAAACTAGCTCACTAATTAAAAGGAGACTGCCAACAGCTAATAGGCTCAGTATTACCTATCAAATTAAAAACACCTGCAAACTTCAGCTCTCAAAGATAAATGGGGATTGATATAAGTGACGATATGACGTTAGATAATGAGTTTTAAATACCTCCAATTTAGGTACATAATCTATACTAATATATAAATCGACAGTGGTTTTTACGGATGTTCCGTTGTAACTACTGCACCATGCATCCGATTGACTCGAAACTTAGTATCCATATAGAAAATGCATGTAATTAATGGATAGGCTAATATTTATATGAGCGTTGGACTCCCTAATAATAATGACAATAAATAATAATGTTAATTTTAAATGCCCAGCGTAGCGGGCGAGTACGGCTAGTAGGTACCTACATGATTAAGCTGTGGCGTTTATATATATTGTTTATTATATTTTACTTATCGGTTTACTTATTTAAAATATATGTACTACATTATTTGAAGAGTGGACATGTTTTATATCTAAAACACAGAAACAACGTATTGTTTTGAAAAGAATCCCGGCAATTTAAACTTTAGGATAAAATGCTATAATGAATAAACCGGTTTTGCAGCGTTCATTCAATTTCGATTCAATTCGTCTCTGAATGATGCGATTCTTTTCATATATTTTTATTACTTTTGCCATACGGTCTACCTGATGGTATGTGGTTACCATCATAATGGACGTCAGCAATGCCAGGGGCACAGCCAAGTCGCTGCCTACCACAAATGTTTGTTAACCTGCTTATCATATTGTAGTCGTCGTTTCAACCCTGAGGTTGAAATCCTTCTTTGAAGAAATAATGTAGATTCTTTAAATCCAATCTCCATTTTTTGAGCTCACTCAGAGTAGGAGATAGATAGATTATATTAGCAGTTCGCATGGGACATTACAACTCATATATTAGGGGTTAAAGTATGAAATTACCGATTTGTACTGAAAAATTGAAGTTCGTTTTTTTTTCAAATAACATATTTATATATTTAACCAAAATATCTACCATTATTATCTATACATTGCTGCCATCTAATAGGAAGGTCATTTATGCCTTTGCAATAGAATGATAGATGCATTTTGCACTGCCTCCTGGGAAAAAAACTTTTTTATTACGTAGAAAATTGTTCAAATCACGAAAAAAATTGTAGACCGTTGGAGCAAGGTCTGGCGAATATGGAGAGTGACGAATGGTTTCTGATTATTATTGCACTACGGTTTCCCGTGCTGTATGAGGTCTCGCATTATCGAGCAATAATGGTGAAGATCGATTCATGAGTCGGGGCTGTTTCACTGCAAGTTTTGCTATCATTGTTCGGAGAAAGCTATAGTGAATAACATGCTGAGACCACCAAACAGTCACCATTACCTTTTCCTTGGTAAGCTTTGCTAATAAAATACAAAAAATAAATGTTAGGGGTGGACAGCCCTTATCACTTAGGGGTATGAAAAATAGATAGTGGTCGATTCTCAGACCTACTGAACATCCATACAAAACTTCATAAAAATCGGTCAAACCGTTTCAGAGTATGGTAACTAACATTGTGACACGAGAATTTTATATATAAGATAACATTTAGACCCCAGAGTAATAATACGGTCAATTTAAAACAGTGAGTAAACTGGGTATTATATACACAGAATCTACTGTGTGCTTAGTGCGAGTTTTTTAACGTTCCCGATAGCGTAAAAGTAAGCCCAATTTTGTATGCAATTGGAACAGCGCCCCTAACGGCAAACGTGCGCAAACGATCTCATTCCACACAAATATGAGCTAACTTTTACGCTATCGAGAACGTTAAAAAACTCGCACTAAGCACACTGAACCCTTAACAGCTCGAGTTCATCTAGCCATCTACAGCAACAAAAACTATCCTTAATTTATGCAGTCCTCGTTTTCGTAAGATTTCTCTAATCAGATACATTCTCAAATAAGAGACATCCTAATATTTAATAATGTTTTCTATAAGAAAATACATAAGTTTGGTGATCTTTAACAGATAGGGATTTGACACTGCACTGGCCAAGCATAGGAAATATAATGGGACCTATGGTGGCATCAAAATTGGTATAAGAGGAATTTATCCCTGCAAATCTAATTATGATAATGACTCATTATGGACAATTGTCAATACTTTACTTTTATTTTAAATGTTCATCCTCCAAAGATACTAGTTTACCTATGTCTATAAATTAAACATTTTACTTCGATTACCACACCAAATTACTGCCAAAGGTTAAGTACGACTTTTGCAATTGCAAATTTATGCATATAAAGGTTAATAAAACTAATAATATAATTTACAAGAATTTATTTTTCAATAAAAGGCTGGAATGCAAATGTTAAATGCTTAATATTGTACATTTTAAATCCAGCTACATAAAGTATATTCTGTAAGTATATTAAAATACACATTCCATATATTTTTGACATGTTTGATAATAATAAAAATATAAATCTAAATTAAAAGTTATAAGAGAGGATTGTGTGCATCTATGTCATTATTAAAACAATATTCATATTATACATAATTATTTTCTTCTACAAATTCATTATTTTATACGACAGTCTAAGTAGACATCATTAGTAATTTAATACTGGAAGGTTGTTTATGTCATGGTACCAAAAACAGGGTTGTGTCTGCAAATACTAGGACCATACTCCATGTATGCCTGTTTAGTATGGCAGACTTGGTAGAACTCTGGTGTTGATGCAAGCATACTGCCTCCGAACCACACAGCATATCTCTGCATGTTATGAGACACGACTTGTACATCAATCGGTTTAGGGGTAATCCGACCTTCAGATAACATAGTCGAAAGCTTCAATCTTGCATCAACAGCCCTCTTGATATCACGTTGTAACCTTCTGCCAAAGTCACGGAACATAGTCGAGCCACCAGACAACACAATGTTTCCATACAATCCTCGTCTAACATCAATGGGGCATGACTGAATCACTTCATCAACCATCTCATTCAAAGGTACAGTGAAATCAGCATTTGAAAATTCAGGATGGAAGAAAATCTCAGGTCCTAAGAATCGCTCGTAGCCAACATCGACTGTAAATGGGTTTTTAGTGATAGCATTGATCCCTGTGTACTTTTTCATCCATTTACCTGGATCACTATCATATTTTGCAAATTCTTTAGCAATGTCAGGACAGATATAACTGTATTTTTCTTTAATAGCTTTGGCAGTTTCCAAACTTTGCTCAGGAGGGATTCCAACCTCTCTTTCACGAAGTAGCGATTGAATAAATGAAGTAATGTTTCTACCAGCAATAGGGATGTGTTTTATACATGATCCAATAACATAACCTTCCGCAACTGGAACAATGTGAGTGACACCATCTCCACTGTCTACTACGATGCCAGTGAAGGTGCGTTCAGCAGACGTACGTGACTTCCATGACGCAGCCAAAGCAAGAACGGCTTGTACAGCAATGTAAAGGCCTGGCACATTAAATGACTCAAACATGATTTCGGCTAAATATTCTCTGTTTTCTGGAGTGTTGAGCGGAGGTTCGGTCATCAAGAAATGATGATCTTCGGGTTCCGCACGAAGATACTTAAACACGCACTGTTCGATGTACCTTTCCATTAAATCCCAGTCTTCTACGATACCGTGGCGCACAGGATACTTTACAGAGTATCCTGTGGCTTCAAAAGCTTCATCACCGATGAAAAAATCCAAATCTTCGACAGCCTTAGTCATCCTCCGAGTACTCTGATCGCCAACTTTTGCAGTTTCTTTTATCGCTATGGTTGACGGAATAATAAACTGTGGTTCCTTGTTACCGGCAAAACCCAGTTTAGTATACCCGGTGCCGACATCGATAACACAAGCTGGTAAATGGTCTCCCATTTTTATTATATAAAGTTTATTATTCAACTATATAGATATAAAATAATAAATAGGGTGCGGTAACTAAGATGGGCAAAATCAGTCAGATATCTTCGAATTAGTCAGTTTTGCCTTACGTATGACAGTCATGAAATGTCAGCAGACAAAATTGACGTATCAATTTTTTTATTTAAGGAATAGATTAAGGAAACATAACCTAAACAAGCCTTCCCCAAATAAATGTTTTATTCAAATCACCTCTTAGTAGAATACAAAAAAAAACTGAGATTTATTTGGACATCATAGAAGAATCTGACAAAGCACCAAGCGACGTCCGGTGATTTTGTTTCAATCCGCCACTCTTGTACACTTTCACTAATAGAAAAAGAGTTTCTATACAATCACAATTCAGGGTTTCATCTGAATAGCCTGATACCGTTTTAGTTTAATTTAATAAGGACTTGAAATTTTTGAGTTAGATACCTTAAAACAAAAAGAAGTACATTCATTATTATTGTTATTATTTAGTTTTTAGTAGTAGCATTCGCTATAAACTTCCTTGAAAGAAAGATATGTCACAATGCTCAAGAAAGTTGCAAAGGGAATTTCATTTCAAAGTCGGATATTGGATTGAAAAAGAAAATTCTGGAAACGCACTGTCAATAAGCTATGATTCTAGAAACACTTAAATGGTACTTAATTATAAAATTAAATATACCAAAAATATACTGCTAATTTCTAATAGAATAATGTTATTAATTAATAATCTAAGGAATTGTTTGAGATGATTCCATTATCAAATTTTTACTGTCGGACCGCCCACCACCGGAGTAGAGTTCATCGATACTACCTGGAGCCACTGCCTTCATCCACCTTCGAAGTCATCGTGGCCTAAATGATAAGTCCGGTGCATTAGTGTTGAAGTGATGCACCGGTGTTCGAATCCCCCAGGCGGGTACCAATTTTTCGAATGAAATACGTACTCAACAAATGTTCACGATTGACTTCCACGGTGAAGGAATAACATCGTGTAATAAAAATCAAACCCGCAAAATTATAATTTGCGTAATTACTGTTGATAGGACTTCTTGAGTCCGCGCGGGTAGGTACCACCACCCTGCCTATTTCTACCGTGAAGCAGTAATGCGATTCGGTTTAAAGGGTAGGGCAGCCGTTGTAACTATACTTGAGACCTTAGAACTTATATCTCAAGGTGGGTGGCGCATTTACGTTGTAGATGTCTATGGGCTCCAGTAACCACTTAACACCAGGTGGGCTGTGAGCTCGTCCACCCTCTAAGCAATAAAAAAAAAACGAGGATCTTTTTTGCCACGTCCCATCCGACTTTCGAATGAGTTCTTCTCCACGGTGTTTCCCGAGCGCTATAACTTGTCCTTCTTCAAACGAGGCTTGCGGAGAGTACGCAATGGTTGGCAGCGGCTTGGCTCTGCCCCTGGCATTGCTGAAGTTCATGAGCGACGGTAACCACTAACCATTAGGTGGACCGTATGCTCGTCTGCCTACAAGGGCAATAAAAAAAACATACCAGTGTGTCTACACTGTTTTGGTGCAAGTATCAAGCTTATGCTTGGACATGGTACTCAGTTTTCGTCTCTACTCCTAGTGTATGTTTTTATCCTGCATAAAACCATCGACACTTTTCTACTTCAATTGAATTGATGATCCGATGAAATTCAAGATAATTAAAACTAGGACAAGGGCGATAGTTCGTGACCACGAAAACTGTAAAGCAGGGATTCCCAAAATGAACTTATACCTTAGACCCACGTGACCACGAAAACTGCAAAGCAGGGATTCCCATGAACTTATACCTTAGACCCACTTAACCAAATTAGAATCCTATCTCTATTTTTTCCTATACCAAATACTTACCAATTTAAAAACTTTCCGATTGGGAGCTTCACTTTGGGAAACGCTGCTGTCAAGTACCTACCTATTTTAAACGTTGGAAAAAATAGCAGAAAAACGCGAGAATAAACCGTAAAAGTAGTTTTAATAACATTTACGATCTAAAATCTTCAACCTAGCGAAAAGTGAAGAAACAAATTCAAGGTGTGTGTATAGTCTCTAGTAACCGCTTCATAACAGACGGTTTAAGCTCATTTGCCCGTTTATGTTATTAAAACAATATGAGTAAAATATCCTTCGAAAATGTAAAGCATAATTTTATTGTGACTTGACTATGCTATAATATGTTATAAACAATTATATAAATCGTAACAGGAATGTACAATTTTGATTCAAAACAAAATTAACATTCTATTGTGAAATTTACATTTGAACAAATCTGAATTATACATGTTTTTTTTCGTCAGGACACCAATAAAATTGATAAACTTTTTTTAAACAGAACAATTTATGATTATCAATATTATTTTACTGTTAATGTTAATAATTATTAATATAATTAATAATATAATATTGGTAAATTAATAAATTGAATAATATATAATAATATTGGTAAATTAAGCGACACTGAATGATATTATTAATTAAATTAATCACTAATAATATTAACGCAACGATTACAGTATGTACCTACATACGTAAATAAAATTGTACATTTATTAGTACTTTCTACATTTATCGTTAAAAAAATATCTTTTTATATCATTTTTTAACATTAGGTAATAATCTTCTTATTCATAAGACAAGTATGAAACGTTATTTGGAATTATTATTAAATTAGGTTATTTTTGATGACGGTTTTATATAGAAGATATAGTGGCGATGGCTTCTCTCTACAGCATTGGGTCTTCAATCTCAAAACCAAAAGAATTACTGATACACATCTAAAATACTGACAATATAAAATTCCTGCAAAACAATCTAGGGTTTCTTTATTGACCGAACAAACAAATCAACCATTAATAATTTATATATAAATATAAATATATTTTTTAATTTGTTTCGTTTTCTCTTTTAATGACACTTCTGTATAATTTGATAATATAAGAAACGATAAATATTAAATAAATGATCAGTGAATTAATAGAACGTTGTATAGATAAATCCAAAACATTTTAGAATTTATTTTTAGTCGTGTAGTTTAATTATTGGACTAAAGATTTATCACCTATAGCTGAAAATGTTATGTAACTCAAACTAACATCATAGGTTATGTCATGCAACAACAAAACGCAAATTTTGAACAACAATTCAAACACAAACTTTTAATCATAGAGTAGGCCAGCATTAGTATTTCCAAAAGGTCAGTACAAAACAGACTTCATAATTGAATGGATTTAATGATTAAACTAGCAAATCGCACAAACGGCGCGAAGTCTATGGCCTACCACAACCTATTACCCTACTTACTGTACTTTGAAACTTCAGTTTCCTGCCAAATTCCGGTTATCTCTTTTATTAAATAAGTAAATAGTTGAATTCACCTATCCGTCCGTCCTTAGATGAAATAGCCCCTTATTTTACCAATTATTTGTTAGGGAAAAAAAAGTTGAACTGGCGAATATTATCTCGATTTTATAATATGGTTACTTACTATACAAAGCTCAACAATCGATTACAAATACACGTCAATTCAACAATCGTATTTATTTGGATTACAATTACACTATCAGTATCAAACTTCAGACTTAAATTAGAAACGTACGAAAAAAAAAAAACCACCAAACTATCTTACGTTGCAAATACGATCGATCGTCCCTTTCTTTTCAAAAGATTCTAGATTTCTCACCACATCGCATAATCGGAGTCGTCCATGTCAAAGATGGTGAAGAAACCCAAGATCGTCAGATATACGATCACGTTACCGGCCAGTGTAAGGTAACATGCACCCCAAAAAATCTGTAAAATAAAACAACAACAAAAATTACCCGATTCCTTATTACGTATACTATTACAAAACTATGCGTCCCTAAATTAAATTTTCCAAAAAATATAAGGATATGCCTGGGCGGCAAACATATTGAAATCATTTTCAAATTAGACGTAATAAAAAAAGTTGTCTTAAAAATTATTGTGAGTTCGTGCGGGTAGGAACCACCGCCCTGCTCTATTTCTGCCGTGAAGCAGTAATGCGTTTCGGTTTGAAGGGTAGGGCAGCCGTTGTAACTATACTGAGATCTTAGAACTTATATCTCAAGGTGAGTGACGCATTTACGTTNCGGCAAACATATTGAAATCATTTTCAAATTAGACGTAATAAAAAAAGTTGTCTTAAAAATTATTGTGAGTTCGTGCGGGTAGGAACCACCGCCCTGCTCTATTTCTGCCGTGAAGCAGTAATGCGTTTCGGTTTGAAGGGTAGGGCAGCCGTTGTAACTATACTGAGATCTTAGAACTTATATCTCAAGGTGAGTGACGCATTTACGTTGTAGATGTCTATGGGCTCCAGTAACCACTTAACACCAGGTGGGCTGTGAGCTCGTCCATCCTTGTAAGCAATAAAAAAAAAACATGTCCTAAGGTGTATACCGTCATTCACGATACGAAATCTGACCTTTAAAACTAGAAGTCGCGATCTAGTTGGTTCTCCTGATTTGAAGCAGTTACCAAACCTCAAATTACACAATTTCGTCAGGCAATGTGTATTTACAATGCGCCCTGCCACCAGTTTTCTCACTTGAAAATTATAACTACAAAGCGATTCACATAATATTTTGTGTTACAAGTGGTCACACAAGTTGAGATTAGAATTATTATCCATCCAAGATTAAGCAACATGGGGCCCATTTACACCACAGAATAAATGGCTACCCCCAACTTGATAGAAATCTCGAAGTTTTAGTATAAAGGTTGTAACAGCAACGCTGAACGCTCACAATACTACCTACCATGAATGCATTCGAGTGTACAATTTTATGCTATTATAATTAATTACAAGTGTGAGAATATTTATCTAGGTACCAAAATTGGAATTATCCACATTAAATCTCATAAAACCAATTTTGGTTTGTTTCAATGAAAACCGAAAATACAAACCACACTAGCCCTGGCGAGAACTATCGGTAGCGCAAAAGAGCTGACTAAAAATCCCATTGTGATAAATACTGCAGTTTCCATACAAGCGGAATTTGAACCTCCAGCACCATCAGTATGCCTCCTAGCGATCATCGTAGGTATTGGGCACAGAATGTAGAATAGCACAACGAAGAATGGCCACCATAGTCTGTGAATGTAATTAAGCGTCGTTAACTGAATTCATTTGTGGGTCAGAATGGCTGTCTACTGGCAGTGGTAAGTGGTTATATTCATATATTGTCACAAGTTGGGAGACAAGATGTGATGTAATATAACTACCAGTTTTGTCATTAGTCAGCTAACAACTAATAACATAAATTCATTGATATATTTTATTTTTAAGAGTAGATGTTTTCTTAAGAGTTCAATAACATACACATTTTGTTATCTTATCTTTATTTTATTCAGACAGTTTTATTTTATATGGCTGCAATGACACTACTTTTATCTTTACTTATAAATAAAATTGGAGTGTCTGTTCGTAATATTGAAATAACGGTTTTTTAGTACATGCATATGAATATATACACCGTACATATACCAAAATAACATTTTAGAATTTTTGTCTGTCTGTCTGTTTGTTCCAGCTAATTTCTAGAATGGCTAGACCGATTTTTACGAAACTTTCAGGTAGGTAGCTGATGATATAAGGAGTAACTTAGGCTACTTGTTTTAAACTGGCTTCGCCCCGCAGCGTCACCCACGGTACGACAATAACTACAGGTACCATCGCGGGACTCTGCTATCAATAATAAAATTTAATGTTTCCGAAGCGAAGCAAGGGCAGGTTGCTAGTATAAAATATATTTATAGTTATAAATGTTTTTTTTTATTGCAGTAGATTGCTAGATGCATATAGTGCAGTTTGTGTTAAGTGGAAATCACAAACCAATAGCCATTTAAAATCAAACTGATGCTGATATCATTGCCAGTCTAATACAGTAAAATGTTTTAAATCCTTACTGCATCTTAAAGGTTTGGTATGGGTTTTACTATTACTTAAAAACATAAAAATATTTTTTAATTGAAATGCTGTTATTTGTTTTGCATTGATTTTTTATTACTTTACTTACTTGTATTGTGGTAAGGCACAAGCTAGTATGACAAATGTCATTCCAATTGAACCCGCGAATGCCAACGACACCAAACTGAAATTCACACATACATTTCAATTGACTCTTATGTGTTGATTGACAGTTGCTAATGTTTCTAAAGAACCAAATTAAGATTGTTGAATTAACACATCTTGCACTGTTTTTCATCTGTTTGAGAGTCAACCATGGTAATTAAACCATAATGGTTACTTTATGTCTATATATTTCTAAAACCAAAAAAGTACTATACTTATGTCTCTTTACTATAAGTACTTTACTTTTCTTTACTACTTTAATATACTTTTTAAAATAATAGGCAATTTGATCACAAAAATCTATAATACAATTATTTCCATTCTCTCATATTAAATTTCAATTCACAATTGTATTATACATTCTTAAGCAAATCAAANTGGTTACTTTATGTCTATATATTTCTAAAACCAAAAAAGTACTATACTTATGTCTCTTTACTATAAGTACTTTACTTTTCTTTACTACTTTAATATACTTTTTAAAATAATAGGCAATTTGATCACAAAAATCTATAATACAATTATTTCCATTCTCTCATATTAAATTTCAATTCACAATTGTATTATACATTCTTAAGCAAATCAAATATCTTATTAAAAAAAGTTATATTAAATTTTTACTTTTTGTTTACTTTTAAAATTATTTAAATAGGCCATAAATGTTTCTTGAATTAAATGACTATGATCCTAAGTGATCAGATGACTAAAGGGAATCATCTCAGTTTGTAATATTGTTCAAAATATTTTGCTCATTTAAGTACTTACATCAAATATCTACTGTGAATGTTTTACAAAAAACAAAGTTAGTTATTATAACAATTATGTAGGTATATATGTATGTATTTAATTATTTGGAATTTATTATGTAATTATTTGTATTTTCTTAATATACCTACTTTATAATTATGCTAATTTGTTTGAACGCATCCCAGGATGCAGGGTCAGTTCAAACATTAAAAAGGAAAAATCTACCTAAGTAAAGTTGTTTTTGCTAAACATCAAATCTATTCATTATTTTATAATATTTTTTCTATGCCTATTCTAGCTATTTACTTAATTTACCCCAATATTATTCCATGTGACATAATTACTAATGCAAATTTCTATTTCAAAACAAATTATGGAAAAATAAAACTAGTAGGTGCAGTATACCTACTCACCTACTTTGAGTTTGCCAACATATAAATGTTGTTATTAAATTTTACAGACCAGGTTTAGAACAGTTTACAATAAGATATTTCATATCTAGCCTTCATATATTTTTAAAAGTGATTCAGTGGTACCTACTCAATCAAAATATTTCAACTTACCCTATTGTGTCCATGAAGTATACATGAAAAGAAAGAAATTAACATAAGTAAGCGATAATTGATTATTAAGAAAGTGTTTCATATTTTTAAGTAATGACTCATTTTACTATAACTGACATTCATTTATACTTGAAATATTTGCAAAATAAAACTCCAATTCATGTAATCGCTATTGCATGTACCTTTTATTCCAGCCATTGTGTTTTATATTTTAAGTATAATTATTTTCTTCTTGTTTAAAAACTCGTGAAATGAAATACACTTCTGCTAACAAATAGTAGATAATCTGCTTTGTTTTTCCTTTTACTTTTATCAATCATCCATCACATAAAAGAAGTTTAGTTGCTTGAATGAAAGTTGAATGCTTTGATGATAAATTGGTGTATACAGTTTAATCTATACTGCTGGATTGTCAAAGTCACTCACTACCTACGTCAACAGTGTATAATCTATGCTGCCGTCTTTAATCTCATTTAACCGACTTTTTGGCGGGAACGCGAGGAGTGAAGTTCTGTGATTTGTTTTATTTTGTCTATTTAGTGTTTCTTCAGGTTTAAATGTGTAATAATGGTGGTTTATTAACTGTTTAATATCTGTGGAAGTGCACAAATGTGGGAAAATGAAACAAAGCTGCTGGACGTAACTTCTCAGGTTCCTCCAAAAAGTCCACTGAAAAAATCTCAGTAAATGACCACCATTTTACTGCGATTATATTTCATCCCATATCATTTCATTTCATTAAGTTTCATCCCAGTTGATTAATGTCTCAAATTAATCATCTTCATTTAATTTAACTCCATATTATCATTTTTCATAAAATTAAGAATATAAAGTAAAATAAGACATGACTTAAAGGTCTTAGTTACCAGGTCATAAAATCTCTTAAAAAAAAATCTCATTTAACCCCCAAACAAAGGTCAAACAAATATCATTCAATCCCGTTTTTGCAGGATAGCCCCGTGGTTCGTCAGGAACATCAACCTCCTCGGTGACCTGGACCTAGAGTCCATCAGTAAGTATTTACAGTCGGCATCAAGGCGCCATCGCGCCATTTTGAGAAAGCGGCACAACACGAGAACCCTCTCATCGTGGCCGCCGGTAATTACATTCCCGATCCTGCGGAAAAAAACACGTCATTTCGGATCCTCCCGATCCACTAACGGTGTTTTTAGGTACCCCATACACCGGTCATCGTTCTCGTCGAACCCGTCGCTTGGGACGAAAGACTCGGCGAGTAAATTGACCAACAGACAGCCCACTGAGTTTCTCGCCGCATCTTCTCAGTGGGTCGCGTTTCTGATCCGGTGATAGATTCTGCGAAGCACGGCCCTTGCTAGGGTTCGTGTTAGTAACAACGCCAGGTTTGAGCCCCGTGAGCTCACCTACTCGCCCGGTGACGCTGATATGGTCTCTCAAGACCATTAGCTTAGGTAGGAAAATCATATAAATATAGAAAAAATCAGACAGACAAATATCCCGCTTAGTAAAACGTGATATGACTGCGTTGAACAAGATTATCTCATCATGTAATTAATAGGGCTAGGAGAAGAGAGGTAGAAAAACAAAACAAAAAAAAAATTACACATATAAAAACATAAAAATGGAATATACACATAAAAATAAATAAAATTCAAATTTAGTATCTTTACATTTCATCAATTTTATGCTCGATCAATCACCAATAGTTGTCGAAAAAACTTTATAATTGATCAAAATTAATTAATCTAAGCGATAAAAATAACGATATCTAGTAAGAGGGGGCAACTTAAGGGTGAGCATCTGTTTAATTAATTATAAATAAATAAAAGATGAACAAACTGTTTTTACACTCGAACATTGATGAACAAATGACGAACAAATAATTAAAAATAAAAATAATCCTAAAATAAAAAAAGGTGGCGTGACGTGATGGTATGCTTATTAGATATAAAATAATTAATAATTGGGTATTTAATTGTTTTTATGATCGAAAAATCACCAATAGTCGTCGTGCAAACGATAATTGATCAAAATTAATTAATCTGAGCGATAAAAATAAAATATCTAGTAAAAGGGGCCCACTTAAGGGTGATCATTTGTTTAATTAATTATAAATAAATAAAAGACGAACAAACATTTTTTATATTCGAACATTAACGGACAAACGACGAACAAATAATTAAAAATAAAAAAATTCGAAAATAAAAAAAAAGGGAGCTAAATTCACTGAGCCCTAATAAATGCATCAAACTGTTTTCATTGAAGTCTCTGAAGTTTGTACTAGTAGTTTCGAAATAATATATTGCAGACCATGATTCATTTTATGTAAAGATGATGACAATATATTAAAAATGAATAATTCCAAGAATACTGCCTTTGAATATGGATAAAACAACAAAGCTTAAAGATTTAAAATGGATATTAACCGTATAGTTTTTAGAAAAAGGGGGCTGAAAACAGAATGAAGTGGCCGAATTCAGTTTCTCGGATTCTTTCATTTATTAAATTGTCAGTAAATTCCGAACAGTTAATGAGAGGTTCATTAATTTCATCTCATCTAACAACTGCGGTGCTGTATATATCTCATCAATTAATAATATTTTAAGTTATTAATTTTCATTCCAAGATCAATTATTTTTCAAAAGATAGACATGAATGGCTTTTGCTATAAAAAAATCTATTGTATGGACTGTGATTCCTTTGCGTATCTGTATTCTGTCAAAAGAAACAATATTCTTTAAAAACATTACAGGATTTACAGGTAATAATACCTAGCTATAACAAGAGAATCAATGAAATTATCGTTTGTAGGAAAGGGATTATCAGTTTTAAGTAGATTATAAAACATGGATGATGACGCAGAAACTTACAAACTCTGGCGTATACGTAAAACTGTAATGCAGGTGAGGTTATATTTGATGCTATTCATCTTGTTGGTTGGATTCTAACAGTAACCGAGGCATAATATTTACAGTTGTGCCATGACCGAGGATATTTAGTCACGCAAGATGAATTGGACCAAACTTTAGAACAATTTAAAGAGCAGTTTGGCGATAAACCAAGGTATACTATTGTTCTTATAACCTTATTAATCTGATACGCTCTAGTGTAGCCAGAAAGACATTCGGACTTCGGGCTACGAGCAATGCATCCATCAAAAAATTTATTAATTTTATAATTTGCGTATACAGTATTAAATAAACTATCATGCAGTGACACATTTATGCGTCTGGATTGAAGATCTGGCAACGGTTAATACTAATCAGCAAGATCAGTGGAGTTTGCAGACCCCATTTCTATTTTCTTTTCACTGTTATATTTTGTTGTAATTTTAAAGTTGTCCACTATAATTGAATCTGCTACATTTTTTTTTATGGTGGGATAGCACTGTACCATTTTATAATTGTCAAAAATAAAATATGTTTAGATCTTTCCATTGTCAATCCATATGTATAATGTTAGGGTTATTCAGTTTAAAGCTAATTGTAGGTAGCTTGAATTTTTATATTTTTATATTTAACAAATCAGCCTCAATGGTCCAAACATTAAATTAACTTTTAATAATTTGTTAATTTGTCCCGACATATGTATTGTATAAGTTGTTTAATTTCAAGTCAGAATAATTTGAATCAAGTTTGAAGTACTGAGTAGCTGCAAGTGAGATCTCTTGTATGAAATCAAAACACAAATATGGATTTGTAAACACTACTGACCCATCATTTTGGTTCAGGGGTATTGTAGTACTGCTAAGTTTCAGATCCAGCTACAGAGCAATTCAACGTTTTTGTCTTAACACTTGTTATCTTTCTTAGAAGCTTATTGGAATCTCCAAATTTAATAGGTTCTCACTATTAACATCTTTAAATTTACTTTCAGTTTCTTTCATCAGTTTCATTGCTCAAAAACTTTTTTGGAACGTTAACAGCCTTTTAATAAAATGTTCATAATTTGAAAAGTCAGCACAAGTCGGCAAACTTTTAAGGAATCACAATATAATGAGTGTTTTCTACCAAAATTATTGTGTACTAAATTGACTTACCAAAATATAACTGAGCTGTCTGAGATAGAGAGCGATGTACTAGACTGTTTCTAAATTTATTATCTAACATTTCCATTTCTTCAGCTGTCCTTTCAAAATTCTTGAAAGTGTGTAATTTAGCATCGAAATATTTCACAATGAAATGTCACTTTGACTTATAAAAATGATTGTTGTCAAAGAGAATAATGTAAATACTACCTCTATAGTAAATGATTATGTAGTTACTGTGTGAATAATTGGAAATTTATGTTACCAGATCATTCAACTCATGGCCAACAATAGAAATCTGTGGGTTAATGATGAAATTAATATGAAAATCATCAATTTTGAGTTGATTTATAAAGAAATCTAGAATTTAATACAGCATTTTTTTTAGTGAGAAAAGACCAGCAAGAAGTGATTTGATTGTGTTAGTGGCTCATAATGATGATCCAACGGATCAGATGTTTGTTTTCTTTCCTGATGAAGCTAAAATTGGTATAAAAACTATAAAGACATATTGTACAAGAATGCAAGAAGAGAATATTCATAGGGCTATTGTTGTTGTCCAGGCGGGTATGTATCATTAACTAATCACCAGTATCCTACATAGTTCTCGAGAATGCATATTTTTCTCCAAATAGAGAGCAACATAAGTGTCTTGGTTTTTACTCCTTAATTGCAAAACTTGGTGGTTGCGATTGTATTTTGGAAACTCAATGTATAAATATAACTTTAGTGGTATTTTCATAACTAGCCACTTCATAATGTGTACATATCGATATATATTTATTAAATACATGAAAAACTTATCTGCACACTGTTCATCCATACTATGTGGTATCCTTGCATTCATCATCAGTGCATTTCCAGATATCTTTTTGCTACATAACATAACATCTGGCTCTGGAATTAAATCTTCTCCACAGTACTTCCTGAGCACTATGATATGTCTTTTTTCAAACTTGGCTCTTGAAGGGGGTACCCAGAGGTAGGCAGCGACTTGGCTGTGGGCTCCACTCACCTTCAGGCTGGTCGTATGCTTGTAAGCTGGTTACAAAAACTAAAATAACCTTCTCCAATCTACAACTCCTATTTTCAAAGGGAACTGTATTATGATGACAGCTATCTTCACAATATCAAAGAGGAATACTAACAGTAATTTCTTTGAAATTTATGAGTCAGAGATATGAAAAAAAAACTCGTATTTGCATAGTGATGAACCATAAAAATTTAATACATTGCAAAACTCCAAAATTAGAATACGAAAATCTTCAATTTATGAATAAACCATAAAGGTAATTTTGATCGAGAAGAGTAATGTTTTGATGGTTCACCTATGTACATAAATTAAGTAGCTAGGAATCCCAAAAATCTCTCGAAAAAAAAATCAAAATAAAACTCATATTTTCGTAACTTTCAGGAATGTCACCATCAGCTAAACAGTCACTGGTTGATATGGCACCCAAATACATTCTAGAACAGTTCCTTGAATCGGAACTACTGATTAATATAACCGAACATGAGTTGGTACCGGAACATATTGTGCTGACACCTGATGAAAAGCAAGAACTCTTGGCAAGATAGTATCCTTTACTGACAACGTTTAGAAATTAGAAATAGCAATATTGATAGAAACAACAAAGATAGATTTAAGTTTCGGAAATAAATCATTTGACCTCATGTCTCATATGAGTGGTGACATTGTGTTGTCTATAGACTCTGATAACAACTTCAAACAAGACGGGCCATGAACCCGTGTAGTGAAAAAAAAATGTAATGGTTAAATTGGCAATGTCCCATAGTCATTTCAATCTAATGTTATTTCACTACTGACTTAATATGTAACTGAGATAGCATTGTAGATAGACTAAAAGATTGGTTCATTTAAATGAAAATTTCCTAAATGAATGACAGTAAGCTGAAAGAGAACATGTTGATGAGAATACAAGCAGGTGACCCTGTGGCGAGATACTTTGGACTTAAACGAGGACAGGTGAGTCATTTATCATAAATTTCTAGGTATGAACATTTTCATTGATATAAAAAAGGGTGTATATTTTTTTATGTTTACTTCTTTTACAAACTTCATATACATAAACTCCCTTCTTGAGACAAGAGTGTCTCGGCTATATAGTATAACGGTTGACCACCATTCAAACCAAAACGTATTAATTAGCGAAGGTTAGGCCGTTGTACTGTACAAACTGAGACCATAGAACTCATATCTCAGGTAAGTGACGGCATTTACGCTGTGGATGTCTGTGGGCCACTCAATATAAGATAGGCAGTGAGCTCGTCCACCCACCTAAGAAATAAAAAAAATGCTTCGCGGCATAAATAGACAGGGCGGTGGTACTCAGGTGTGCTCAGGTGACGCCCTACCAGTAACGATATACATATAATTTTGGGGCATTTATTGATGAATAAGTTAGTTGTTCAAAGCACGATAGATGGCGCTCAAAGTGAAACAAATGTTTGTATTCGATTTTAAACGGAAATATAGCATGTTATGATTAATTAAACAATATCGATAAAATATTGTTAGGGAAATATGATGAAAATTAATTTATTTTAGGATATACGTATTGATAATGTATAATAAGTAGGAGAACAGCGGAAACATCCGCATTTGACATATTACCTCTCGATAATATAACAAAATAAAGACATTCAATTAATATTACCACGCTATTTTAACGAAAACAATCATAATTTGGTGAATAATTCTTAGTTTAAAATAAATAGATTCTTTTAACATTATTGTTTTATATTAAAAATTATTTTACAATTTTTGGTTCGGCGAGTTACCTAAACGTGTTTTCTAGTATTTCAAACTATGTTTTCTTTATTTTTCTTTTTAGTCTCGATACGAACTTACAGCTACTTGAAGGAGGACTGGAAATTCATATAATCGAATTTTTAAATTCAGATTTAAAAAAAAGCGGAAAAATAACAATTAAATTATTGTGTTGTTATCTGCCCTTGGAAGAGTGTGATATAATAAAATTTCAATATTGAAATTGGCGAAACTCACATTCAAAGATTTCGCTATAGGTACACATTGTGCCTTTTTTCTAGTCATTGGATTTAAATCATGTCTAAATAATTTAGTCACTGATAATAAAAGTTTAGTCATATAATCATAATAAAAAAAATACTTAAGTTATATTTGTTAGAGATATTGTCAAAAATTGAAGTAAATAAGAAAAAATAATTTAAAAAAATCGGTTAAAAAAAACAAAACCTATGTCAGTTAGACTCTTCATTTTAGGGTCTTTTTCTCGATTATTTTTACGTACATTTATTGAAGGAATGTATGTATAGATACCCTGTAAGTCAGCGGTTCATATTGATAACAATGATACTTGTTACTAAAGAATCAATTAAGTGAAGTTACACAATTTTGGCGTGTTTTATGGTCACGATCGTTACTTGAATTCGATTTGTTAGGCTCCCGGTTTTCGTGCAAGCTTTGTATGTTAATTTGAATTTAAGACTCATTGGATACACCGCGTCGGTTACGCTGCCGCATATTTCGAATCGCTTACCTTACTTTCGCTGAGTACGTAGTATGAATTCGTCGTGGCCTAAAGGATAACACGTCCGGTGCATTCGTGTTGAGCGATGCACCGGTGTTCGAATCCCAGGCAGGTACCAATTTTTCTAATGAAATACGTACTCAACAAATGTTCACAATTGACTCCCACGGTGAAGGAATAACATCGTGTAATAAAAATAAAACCCGCAAAATTATAATTTGCGTAATTACTGGTGGTAGATGTGAGTCCGCGTGTGTAGGTACCACCGCCCTGCCTATTTCTGCCGTGAAGCAGTAATAATGCGTTTCGGTTTGAAGGGTAGCCGTTGTAATTAAACTTGAGACCTTAGAACTGATATCTCAAGGTGGGTGGCGCATTTTCGTTGTAGATGTCTATGGGCTCCAGTAATCACTCAACACCAGGTGGGCTGTGAGCTCGTCCACCTATCTAAGCAATAAAAAAAAACGTCAGAATTCAAATCGAATTTAAGAACATATAAAGTACAGAATTTTTTGTTTCATCATAATCGTCGGGGTTCAATTCTCATTTAAGGAAAAAATCAGATGTAGACATAATGTGCTTGATTTTTAAAGTGATAAAAGGATTTCGACATTTTTTTGTTTGTTGTAGATCAAACGATAATAATAAAAATTAAACGCGATACTTTATTACAGGTGGTGAAGATCATAAGATCATCGGAAACAGCTGGGCGGTACATTTCGTATAGATTAGTTTGTTAATTTAGCAATAAGATAAAAATAAAAATAAGGGAACAAAATCTACATACCTAATAAGTTGTTTTATTTTATTACTTATCTATACTAATATATAAATCTACAGTGGTTTTTACGGATGTTCCGTTATAACTACTGAACCATGCATCCGATTGACTTGAAACTTGGTATCCATGTAGAAAATACATGTCATGTACTTAATGGATAGGCTACACCAGTCGCGGGGGCGTTAATGATGAGAATCTTTGTGGGGATGAGAAATAATAATGTTAATTTTAAATGCCCAGCGAAGCGGACGGGTACAGCTAGTACAATTATATGAGTACATAATTAATTAGTAAACATTTTTGTGCTTCGATCAATAATATTGATCGAAGTTTTTGTGCTGAAGTTTGATTTTAGAATAAGTTAAAGAAATACCCAACTTTAGTGACTTCGCTAATAAATAAATAAGTTACCATGATCATAGTATTTGTGTTCGCATATTTTTAATTCGAATTATTTGAAAATTTGCATATTTGATGCAATAAATAGATGATTGCACTTCAAGGTTGTAAAGCTTCGGTTTTTTCTCCGTATTTAATCATTGGTAACTTAATGAGCAATTCTAACGCGCCATTTGGTAAGTTAGCCCACGGGTTTAACTTGGGAGCACTTGCTAACACTAGCCTTAGGGAACGTACCCATACTACGTGACCTATTTTTTTAGTTTTTTCGACCTCTCCCTCCCCTCGGTGATCACTCGTAGTATATGCCAAGACCCCCCTCTCCCCCTTGAGTTTTCACGTAGTAATTCATAATTATGATTTTTAATTATTTCACAGGCAAAAATTGAAAAAAAAAAAAAAAAATGGTTCATACTCGTCTTTATTGCATAAGACTGCATGCACACTTAAATTACTAGTGAATTATGTAGTGTGAGTTTACAAAGCGCTAAACACTGCGCGCTATATTCGAATATAGGTCGAAAAAATACGAGATTTCTCTCACTAAAATCGACTACTTGACAAAAACCTGAGCCACCCCTCCGCTCCTGTGACTGACCGTAGTATTTTAAAGACTCCGCTAGCCCCCCCCTAAACGGGTCACGTAGTATGGGTACGTTCCCTTAGCAACAGTAGTGCTTCGCTGAATGAGCTGAATCTATCACCGGATCAGGATCGCAAGCTTTGTCATGGTGATTTTCAACGTACTTCAACTTTTTCTTTTTTATATTTCTTTGATGGGTGGACGAGCTCACAGCCCCCCTGGTGTTAAGTGGTTACTGGAGCCCATAAACATCTTCAACGTAAATGCGCCACCCACCTTGAGACATAAGTTCTAAGGTCTCAGTATAGTTACAACAGCTGCCCTACCCTTCAAACCGAAACGCATTACTGCTTCACGGCAGAAATAGGCAAGGTGGTGGTACCTATCCGCGCGGACTCACCAGAGGTGAGTTATTAGTTGTCTTTGCATGTTAAAATGTCCGTCGTATCCATTAATAAATAAGAAGTGACCGTTCTCGACGGGCCGAGAGCTCGTTCATCCATCTAAGCAAAAAAAGATCCTAAAATCTTGAAACGATGATAACTTTTTTAGCTCATCGGCAGAATGTACAAGTATCGTACAAGTCGAGTTTTGTAACATTTTACACTAATAAACGCTATTATAACATGTTTTTAACATGACGACTTAACTATAATCCAATAATAATTCATAGTGCTGTTCTAATTTTTATCGTCAAAATCTTGGAGGTCGACGAATAGATTATCGATAGTCGAATTGTTAAAATACATAATCTAAAACAAAGTGAACTCTTTGTTATCTCTGCATATCAGACCATTTCGTTTTACATATACATATATATTTTCGCTACAAAAATCAAACCAGCAACAAATGGTATTATAATAAACTTCGAATTTGCAATTCAATTGACTACCATACCTGTAGTATTGGTCAGGTGCCAATCACATGTCGCTTCGCTGCGACACGTAGACCGCACGCAACAAGAAAAAAGTGTTATGAGACTGTAGAATGATAATCATGTTTCTTACGTTCTTATGTGTTTACCGTTATTACACTACGTTGAGACGTGTGAATACAATAAGGCAATTAAATATTAAATTTCGTTGAATTAGTTTTTTTTGTAGCGCGAGCAACATCTTAGTTCACTGGCTTCTCAGAGCCACGACACCAAAACGCAAATAGGCCAAATAACGACTCTAGTTTTACTAGTTTTGCTTTAAACTTTTGCAGATATCTATGTACATTAGTATTAGCGTGTTCCTATGACGATTTTCATTTTATGAGCTCTTGATTTTGCAAACGCCATGATTCCGGGTAAACTGAATACTTCGGATAAGAAGTTAGGAGCAGACAAAAGTTTTTGATTTTTTACGAATTCGATTGCCTTCGGTCAAGTAGGCACGAATACGAGGATATAGGACAAATCTTCAAAGTTAGTTTAAATGTGTTTTTTAATTAATATAATCCTCTTAAAGAAACAGCAGCCAAAGTATCTTAATAAAATCGATCAAACAATGTAGGTATTAGGTAGCACTTTAGTTGTAGTAGTAGTACATAGTCGTATTGCAATCTGTTAGTCCACATACGTAGGTGGAAGTTATGATGGCTTAAGAAAAAAATTAAAATGTAAGTCTCTTCTTCAACCCGTGTCCACCCAAATGCTGAAGCCGGTCGCAGACCCAAAATTAGGCAATGCCAAAGCTAAACTAGGCAAGCTAGGCTAAGCTAAGCCAGAAAGAAATGGCGTGCACACCAAGAGCTAAGCCAAAGATCAGTCAGTGTTGCGAAGTTCAATTAGACGGTTTTTGTTGAGACGGACAATTTGCTCCAATGATGAATACGTTACACATAGAAAAAGAAAATTAATACAGACTTATTATTACTTAAGAAAAGGACAATCCAGATCTTGAATTCAACACATTCAATCTCGGTACGCAAGTGGAGAGCTTAGAACTTTATTTTACGAGTTAGATGATGAACATTTTCAGTTATATTATCGTGTTACAAGAGTTCAGTTTCATAGTGCAGGAAATAGTTTAACAATTTCAATAAATTGCTCCTTATTCACTACAAAATGACCGTGCATACGACACAGGACCCTGGACAGCACTAGGGAAGGATGTGCGAAGGGCGTGCGTGGAAGGCGAGAGGAGCTTAGCTTAGCTCGTGTAGCTGCGCATCGGCCTACACAACTAACTTAGCTTCGCATATTTTAGTTAGCTCACATAGCTTAGTTCGCATAGTTTGCGGTCTGCACCCAAGAATGGAAAAATGCGTCAGCTATGCGAGCTAAACTATACTAACTTAGCTTAGCTCTTGGTCTGCAACCCGTATGAGTGAAGGTCTCTTCATATGCACTCCATTCACTTCGGTCTCTTGCCTTTTGGGGCATGGGAGCATCTAGTCCCCACCGGCTATTTTGACCAGGTTGTAGGTCCGCCTCATTGGTTGTCTGCCCACGTTACAACGTCCAGTACGAGATCTCCACTCCAGTACTTTTCTCCACCATTTATTGTCAGTGCGACGAGTGTAAGTAAACCTATTTAGTAAAAGGCTTTAGTAAAAAAAGATAATGATTGAGTTGCCAGAAAAAAAGTACCTACTTATTATTACTATGTTATTTATAATAAAGAAACTTGTGACTTCCTATTCGAATTAGAGTAAATAAATAAAAGAGCGCCGTTATTTTCCCTACAAACTAGATTTCTTTTATGGCACAGAAAAAAGTATTCATATCTTATAGGTTATTCTGTTTCTAGATTAGTATCTATTTTCGGCCAGTTTACACGTGTGACTTCGTTTTCGCCTTCAAAAACAAGTTCAACTGCCTGTTTGCACACACAACGGTAATCTTAGTAATACCGAAACAGAGAGAGTAAACATCAACAATTTATTTGTAACGCGCCTGTCAATACAGCATGCTAATGTAACGGCACGCATGCTCTAGGTAACGTGCATTTCCTGACGAGTCTCACATAAATGAATACTATGTTTTACAAAACGTACGCACGTGAATTTCATTATAGAAGCTGCAAAATTGACACACAAATCGAAGACTTAATAAAAATACCTAAATGTGAAAAATTCAAACTAAAATTCAATTGAGACTATATTATCTATGAGAGTTTGAAAAACTATTCAAATCGAGTTTACCTTTTGATGAAGTGTTTGTGATTATTTGAACGACGCACAATGTCCAGCATTAAGACAGAATACAAAGCTCTGGAGTTCGATAGAATCTTTCTCACGCATTGGTAAGTGATTGTGAATATTAATAAGTAGTAATAATATTATGTAATAAAACCAAAAAGAATGTCGCGAAATATATTTTGCTAATACGAACATGATTTGAAGCTATTGCATAGTTTTTATCGCGGGCTTTGAGCGCGGCGACTGAATCAAGAAATTCCGTAACGAAAATAACCTGACACCCCCACTACGCCTACTATGTAGCTCGCGTTCAACACATTCACACGTTGCGCTTGTGTAGTGTTTGTGAATAAGCGCGCGGCGTGACGTCGCACTGCCACATGCACATCATGAAAAGTGCCCATCTCTCCCTCGCGCGGTCTAGGTTATGAGTGTGAAGGGGACAGTTAATGTTTTGCTTTTGTTAATGTTTATAAATATAGCGTGGTCTTATTTTATTTTTGTTTTAATATTAAATTATTATTGTCGATTTATAATTGCAAAAGTTGATAAAAAATGCTATGCAGTAGCTTTACCGCGGCAGTGTCCGAGTGCCACACGTGGTCTTTTTTTCTCGTTGTTTTGTAGATAATAAATTAAATTTATCTATAATTTGAAGGTAGCTGTCAGGCCGGTAGTAAATGCTGCCATTAACATGTCATATGTTCTGTCACTGTAATAATAATTATTCTTCATTGGTTATAAAATATAATAAACGCTTATTCAAACACAGCTTCAGCCCCGTAGACTACACTTTTTAACGCGTAGATGGAGAGACCAATTCTTAGCATTGCGATGAAATATAGGCTGTTTTTTTCCCTAGGGTTCAAACTATTGATCCTACCTACTGAATTTAGTCA